GAGGAGGCAGAGTATGGGGTGTTTAATTGATCCCTTTGGTTTTTAATCTGAAGTCACAAAAAAATTAAAACAAATGGAATTTACTTTGCAAGGAAAATGTTCTAGACATTTTTTCAAAAATCCCAAGAACTGTTCCTGTGTCCCTGTGACTCCTAAGCATGGAGCACAGATACAAGTGATATTCCATTATATTATTCTCCCATCTGCTAAGAACTCTCTCTGTGCTTCCAACTGTTGTATACAAATGTGACTTTTCTTTGGCTCTGGTCTGGAAGGCCAAGCTTGACATCTAGGTTTCATTCCTGATTGTGAAACTGCTTCCCTTTTTAGCCATGTTACTTCATTTCTCTCTGCCTCTTTTTCCTTCTGTACGATGTTAATGATGTAGAGTATTGAAATGTGGGCTTGACAAATAATGTATGAATGCAAGCTGAATGTTATTGTGAAAACACCTTTACACTTAAAAACTTTACTTGCCACTGTGAAATATTATAAAGGGCTTAACTAGTGTGGTTTAAATATAGTGTGTTGCAATCACTTGCTTTTTTTTCCCCATGCATATTTCCATTAATTTGCAGTATCAACCAGTCCGTGTGAACTAGGCTAGCTTTGCTGCATATGTCTTGCTTGTGTATGTTTTACTCTCTGGTTAACTTGCACCAGAACTATTTCTATCTGTGCTTGTTGGTAAAAAGAAACTATTAGTGCATAGATCTTCTCAGAGACTCAGACTGTAGGAGATACTACTGTCACCCCAAAACGTACCCTAAACATTTGTCACGTTGCAGTATTTCTGAGACAGTTATGATCAAGATGGTGCAGGAAGAAGCATACTTGAGTCCCTTCTTCACCCTGTCTTCTGCTATATGTTGGGAGAATCTAGAGTCTCCAGCTGCTCCCTGCTGTTGGTCTTGGCAGCCCCTAGAAGAAAACACCTGAAGAAGTTAAATGGTTGCTCTTGAGATGGCTTTAGTTTATTAATTTTGTCCTGTTGTCTTCTTGCTATATTTGGGGAAACTCAGTTCCTCAGCTGGTCACTTGTCTTCTCCCAAAGGCTACCTTGGCAGCTGGAAGCATGATGCAGGCCCATGGAGATTTTGACGTTGCCCTCTCCAAATACAGGGTGGTAGCCAGCACTGTGCCTGAAAGCCCCCCGCTGTGGAACAACATTGGGATGTGCTTCTTTGGGAAGAAGAAGTACGTAGCTGTAAGTATCTGGTTCCCTTTCTTTTTTCATCTTCATGCAAGTACGAGATTCCTCCTGTGGCAGAGACAGGAGGTCTGTTCTGGGTGGGCTGTGTTACAGCACGCTTATTCCTTTTTTGAAGGCTATCAGCTGCCTGAAGCGGGCAAACTACTTGGCTCCCTTTGACTGGAAGATCTTGTACAATTTGGGGTTAGTCCACCTCACGATGCAGCAGTACGCATCTGCCTTCCACTTCCTCAGCGCTGCCATCAACTTCCAGCCCAAGATGGGAGAGCTGTATATGCTCCTTGCAGGTATGCAGTGCTCCAGTGGACATCCAGCTTAGGGGATGCAGCATTACAGAGACAGAAAGTTTGAAGTAAACAAATAGTGGATAAAGGCTGTACTAAGAAGTTGTTCCCCAGCAGGTCACCGACAGGTATAAAGTCCAAATAGTCTATTCTCTCTCTGTGGTGAATAGGAAGGTTAAATTGCAGTCAGATCCAGATTAAACATTAGAAAAGGCTTTTTCCATGTAAGAGTTTGGGTTTGTGTTGCCTAAGGAGTGGGTGTGGATTTCCAGCACTGGACATTTTTGGGATCAAGCAAGACAAATGTTTGTCAGAAGTGACATTAGTAGAGTTAATCCTGGCAGCAGTCCAGACAATCCTGCTAGCACCTATTTATTTTACGATGTAATCACATTCAGAATTGTTCTAAAGATGAAGTCCTTGCAAAGCATCAACTTGTGCGTGTACATTTTGCTTTGGTACAGTTGCTCTGACAAACCTTGAAGACATTGAGAATGCAAAACGTTCCTATGAGCAAGCTGTGGCACTGGACAAGTAAGTCTTAATCCTAGCTGTCAGTTGTTTGATCGCATTGCTTTGCCTCCCTCACCTGGCTTCCTTTGCACGCTTTGTCCCTCTGTCTACTTTGGCCCTAAATGGTTTGCGATAGGGAAATGTTTTTATTCCTGCAGCTGTGCAAGTCACTGTTTTAAAACCACCTTTTTTTTTTTTTTTTTAAAATTCAGGTCAGCTCTGAAAAATGAAAGGGAAATTTTGTTTCGGTCCAACCCAAAGCTGTATTTTATTTTGGTGTTTGGTTAGTGAGTCAGTGGTGTGACTTTGGATTCCAGGCCACCTTCCAGTGAATATTTATGCACAGCAGAGCAGATTCGATACAAGAAAACCAGTCATCCTGGAATATTTTGTAACCCAAAGTTTGAGCGCTGTGCAGAGCAATGAGAGGCTTGGGATAAAGCCTGTTCCGAATTGGGCAGAGGAAAGATTTTAGCTGGGGGAATGTGGGCAAGAAGCTAGTATAAAGCATATAAAAGGGCAGCAGTGTAGCCCTTTCTCCTCTGTTTAGTTAACAATGTCTGTGTTTGCAAACTAGCTCTTTAAATCAGAGCATTTGGTTTCAGAAATGTTAAAATGAACCTTGCAGTATTTCATCTTTTCAGTCAGAAAAACAAATTTGTCTCAAATTTATGAAGAGTTTTGGCTTCCTGGCTCTGCTTTTCTTTACCTTTCTTTTTGACTTTTCAGATTTTAACTAGTAGGTGATTAGATGGTGATTCTTCTCCCCAATTTACTGTGAATATTTGCATACTTACAGCAGCCAGCACAGTGCTCCTGAGCCCAGTAGTCTGTACGCTGGCGACAGAGCTGTGACAGAAACGCTCTTTCCATCTGCAGTGGCCACCACAAGGTGGCATGAGAAGATGCTGGTCCATTTTCCTTTGTCCTCCATAACCTAGGTGCACTGGCCAGGCTTAATTTTGGGAATTTTGGAAGTTCCTAAACTCATTATAAAGGGCAGTAGGTTTCAAAAAATAGTGTTTGACACTGTAGTGCCATTCTCTTTGCAAACAGGTGCTGTAAATGCTCTCAGATGTTTACTGGGAGTTACTTGGCTTGCATGCATGCCAGAGCTCTTGAATCAGTTAGCCCAGCACAGCCAGCACATCTGGCACTGAAGTTCTTCTTGCTTATGCATCAACAGAATTACAAAGCAGGTTTAAATATTACTTCTACATCTGTTTCAAATGTCAGTAGGTCTGTGCAGCCTCCTCAGAGGAACCGAACCTGTGCAAACTATGGTCAAAGATTTAGAAATGTATCGCTGTGCGAGAGCATTTTGCAATTCGGTCATTCCTACCAACATCACTGACTAAGTCCAGTCAGCTCCTTTACCTGGAATTCCTAATCAGCCTTCCATGCCTAGCAAGGCAGTACAGGACCTTAAAGATTGCTCAGCCTGCTTAGTCATGAATTTGCGTGCTTTGATCAGAGAAGGAATAGAAATTTAGCTCTAGAACTTTGCCTAAATATTTGGCACTACTGTGATGCTATGGCTATATAGTCTTACTGGGAAAATAAAACCTCATCAAAGCAAAAATGATTGCCAACTGCCAGGGCCTGCTGGGAGGAATATCCAGACTTTGTTAGGCTTGTTCAGCTGACATGCCATATATTTTAGACAGTTATTGTGTGGCTGAATCCATGTCCCCACAGGCTTTCTTTGCTGGCATATTATGAACTGTTTGGCTGGGATGAAGATAGCTGTGTTTGTTTCCATTGCCATAAATACTTTCATAGCAGTGCTGTGACATTTGGCCTGGGTGCCATGCTGGGGTCTGGAATGGAAAGCATCTTGGAAAAAATCTTTAAAAAAGGTGTTTCTTCTTAGTACTAGTTCTAGTTCATAGCTGTCCTTTCTTTCTGTGGTTATTTAGCTATTGATTTTTTTCTAACCATCATATTGCTTCTCAGCTCTTGAAGGCGAATTAGCTTGATAAGGTTCAATTAGTTTTAAAACTGGCTGTTCCCAGATCTGTCTGATCTCTGTTTTCAGTGTTTGGTGTGTGGGTTTGGTTTTCTGTATTTTCTTTTTTTGGCTGCCTTTTTTTTTTTTTGCGAAGAAATGGGTTTTTGATATTTATTTTTTCATGCATTACTTCCTTTGCTTTGGCAAAGACAGTGAGGAGGGTTTTTTTTTTGTGGCAGAATCAGTGTTCTAGTTTCTCAGTTAAAGGAAAACCAGTGGTTATAAATGCTATATCAGATTTCTTCTAATAGTCTTCTTTCTTGCAGCGCTGTCATATAACTTACTAAGGATGGATAGTAATGGCCTGCAGATGACACTTTCTATTTATTGAACAGGGTTAGCAGAAGCCTTCCCTTCTGCACTTTTCACAAAGGATGTTCTCTCTGTCTTGGCCCCCCAGGCCTGGGTGCTGGAGTCCTTGGATGGCTCCAGTTATCCCTGCCAGACTCCAGGAGAGGGCACCAGTCCCTCGCTCACATTTACTGAGCGAACTACAAAGCATCCTTCGCTGACCTATGTGCAGTGATACCTGTGTGCGGCTCCTCTGCAGGGAGCTGCGGTCAGACGGTGCTCTTCCATGCACCCCTCGACAGCACGTCCCCTGTTCTGGCCAAATGCAACCTCTGCTCTTCCAGGTCTCATCCTGCAGCCTGGATGAGCTGAGCGTCTGCATGAGCTCCCATGCTGGGGCCGGTGACCCTCTTGCATTCCATTTCTTTGTCAGATAATACACGTGCATTTTGCTTCCTCAAAATAAGGGTAAAATTCAGACAGCTAAAAAATGGTCAGAGCAGTTTGCTGAGGGTGGCTTGTGAGGCAATTAAGGAAGGATCAGGTCTCTGAGAGCTTCGCTTATCAATTACAGAGCCAAGGGAATCAGCTCACTCTTTAAAAATCCCTATGGTTTAGTTTGCTCACATTCCTGGCTATGCCAGAAGAAAAGTTGCTGTTTGGGGTTAATGTATCCTAGTGAAGAAAATGGATACTGTGGAAAATGAGAATATGTGGAACAATTGTGCCTTTTTGAAATCTTCATATAATGTTCTGCATCAGGAAGGGAGGCAGGACTGCACAGGATAACAGTGTTATCTGCAGTCCTGGTCTCCTCTTCAAGTCCTTTGTTAACAGGTATCACCTACTGTTTCTCTGTACCAATACATACAATTATGTATGCTTTTACTGGGTGAATGAGAGAGAAGAGGTGAGGAAAATGAAATGTAAACAGGATGTTCTGTAGCATGTTGGGTTGTAAAATGCGATCAATAAGCATGAGTCTGTTCCACTGCCCTGTCCCACAACAAACTGCTCTCCTACAAACTGGGAGAGCTGTGAGAGCCTGAGATAAGTCAGAGCAGAGATCAGCTTTCACAGTATGATGAAAGCCCTCATCACTGCTCTACCTGCCCCAGGAGCAAGGGGCTGGGAGACCAGGCACTTACTAAAGACAGTCCTGAGATGGTCCCCAAGTGCAAAGAATTGGCGGTTGCAGAGAAGAGCCTTGCAGGAGGTGAGGCAATCAGCAGAGTCATTTATATTGTCATGGACACTGGGATACTTTGCTGAGCCCGGGCACGTGGGACTCTATCATGTTCCCAAAGGACTCTGGCTGTGCAGCCCCTCATCTGCTTTGGGGTCAGAGTACCCCATGGCTTGTCTGTGCCAGACAGTAAGGTGTCTCCAGCTTTGCTGCTTGGGCACATCTTAGTGCTTCTTCAAGTCAGGGTAAGTGTTCCCACAGTGAATGCGATGCATTCTGTGTGTTTGCTGAAGGTGCAACCCCCTCGTCAACCTGAATTATGCTGTCCTGCTGTATAACCAGGGTGACAAGAAGGAAGCCCTCTGCCAGTACCAGGAGATGGAGAAGAAGGTCAATGCACTGAAGGAGAGCAGTACTCTTGACTTTGACCCTGAGGTATGTGCCTAACAATTGTCAGTGGAACTAAGTAGCCACGCTAAGACTGGCAACAAATGAGGAGGAAATTTGACTTTGGAGTCCAATTATTAGGAAGAAATTCTGCTTATGAGATTTTCCGAGTAGAGCATTCTCCTGCTGAGAGCTGCTTGCTTCATTTCTGCTCTTTGAAGCTCAGTTCTTCAATCAATACACAGCAAGACAAGATTCCCTCTTAATTAAGGGAATGAATTAGCGGAGATGTTTCCCTCGAGCACCAAGGCAGTAGCCAGCTCTGCAGAGCTCTTGTGTTTTGGGTTTTTCTGTGTTGTTGACTATATTGTTGTCTGAAGTATTCCTGTTTACAGTGGTCTTCTCTCTTTGCTTCTTGAGAAGATGGTGGAGGTTGCCCAGAAGATGGGAGCTGCCCTGCAGGTGGGAGAGAGCCTGGTTTGGACTAAGCCTTCTAAAGAGTCTAAATCCAAGCAGAGAGCTGCTCTGTCAGGGAAATCCTCCAGCACTCAGCAGCCTTTGGGCTCTAACCAGGCCCTGGGTCAAGCCATGTCCTCAGCAGCGGGGTATGGGAAAACCATCCAGCTTCCCCCAGGTACTTCTCTTTTGCTTCTCTTTAAAGTAGAACTGTGGGAGGGGAGAAAAGAAATCTCTCTTCCTTTGAGTACAGTTACAGCACGTGTTTAGGAAGGTATTGACTTGCTTACACAGTAGTCATGTCAACATTTGGTAATAATCTTCCCAGATTTCTGAGTTAAGGAAGTGTGGAAGGAAGACACTCTCTGTGGTGCTATCTATCCTGCTTTTGCAGGGGTGAGGAAAGCCAGTAAAGTTTCCCTTCCTGTCTGAGCCACGACGGGCAAGACTCCATTAGCATGGGATTGAGATCTTGTTCTGGAAAGGAGGTGGTTTCAGAAACCAGACCTCTTGTCTTCCTTGGGAAGAGCCCAGGAAGCTGACACACACAGACAGGCTGCTGGAGAGAAGGACAATGGTGGACAATTTTCTGAAGCGCTTTATCATTTCTCTTACAAAAATAACTGTAACTGGATTGCTTTGAAGCTGTCCAGCCAGGTCCCTCCCTTGCAAATGTTGCTGGATTACCTTTTAGAGCGGGCCACTGGACTGAAGGTTGCTCAGGAGATAGCGTCAGCCTTCGAAGGCTTATGCTAATGGCTGTACATGCTGCTTCTTGCTGGGGCTGGGTAGGAGCATCTCCTGAGCCACCATTCATAGCCTGACCTCCTCTCACCCCTTGGCTTCCAAGGAGGAATGCGCTAGGGATATTGCTCATTGTGATTTTCTGTCACTCTTAGTCTTGTTTCCTGTGGACTAAACTAGGAGAGAGGTTGTGTAACCAGGCCTCTTTCTTTGGCACCCCTAAGGACCTCTTCCATTTCTCACACGTGGAATAAACTTTGCATGCAGGGAAGACTTAGTCAGGAAAGCTTGAAAAATAAAACATACAGGAGTCTGGGGTCTTTGTCATCCACATCAGAGAAGGGAGCTGGTTCATAACATCGGTTATCAGCCTAAATCTAAGCGTAGAAACAACTTCAGCATGGAAGTGTCCTGTTTTGATTTTGTTCTGTAAGTAGCTACATTAACTGCCTGGAAACTCTCCTTGAGTTTGCTAAAACTGTGAACTGAAAACGGTACTGTGGTTTTGGCTCCAGCTTGAATATAAACCAGCTTCAGTGGATCTATTTTCCCTTCCAAAACATGAGTTAATTCATTAAGTTTGTACTGTCTTCTCACAGCAGCTCAGCTGAATGCGATCCTGTCCCTTAGCTTCCCTTCAGCAGAACTTTGGGTACTGTAAGGTCTCTGGCTGGATAGCTCACAAGAGTCGAGTGCTATTGATAAGCTAATGCTAGACAGAAGAAATCTGAGAATAATTAAGAGCTGCAATTGTTCTGTATCTCCATACTGCCTGGAAGGGCAAAAAGAATAGACAAAAAAAGACGTGTAGTCATACAGTAACTATAATTGCGTTCTCTCCCCAGGTGCTGGCGCATCAGCTCCGCTTGCAAAGCCTCCCTCGCTGCCTCTGGAACCAGAACTGGGCTCAGAAACAAGCCCCGAGGAGACCTCGGCACCAACAGAGGCAGAGGAACAGAGGAAAGAAAAGCGCAAGAGCCGGCAGGCAGCGGACTAGGATGGACTCTGATTGGGACAGGCAGGTGCAGGAGCATCTCCAGCGCTGCCTGCTGACTTGTGGGGAAAGGGACCTGCCCTCTCCCCCGACCCACAGTGGCTTCGCTCCACTGTCAGTCTAAATGCAGCTGTTTTGTTAGTGATTTTAGTACGTGGTCTCTACCTTGTCCCAAGGAGTCGTTGCAGCAATCGGAAAAGGTTTCTGCATAGCTACTGTTAATGTGGTCACAGCTTACTACAAAAGACTGGAGGATGGAGATCCATCTCTCCACAGGGTTGGCAGTCTTCAGTGTTTGGGTGTAAAAGTCCTCCAGAAGGATGCTAAGGCATCCAGTATGTTTAAAAAAGCCAGCAGTAGTGACTTAGCATCCTGGATCCCAAAGAGGGTCAAAGCCTTCCAGTGACTGAACTTGTAAGTGGCTGAAGAAGCCCTACACGGGCTGTAGTAAGGTCAGTGGTAATACACTCGGAGAGGGGGTGAAGGTAGTGCACCCCACCAGAGCAAGTGCAGAGCAGTAAGCTAGGCTCAGGACTAGCACAGCCTGGCTTACTGTGAAACAGGGGCTTGTCACGCTCTGTTTCACAAGGGCAAGACTTTGTAAGTGCTTTCCCAAGGCTGAAGAAAGGAAGCTGAAACGGGATCTGGTGGAGGATGGATGGCCAGAGCAGACCTGCTGTGCTGGGCTAGCAGCATGTGTGTTGGCCAGCCAACTGAGCTGGCTTCTTTAGGACTGTTCATCTTATCCTGTATTTCTTGAATCCAACCTATTTTTAAGCATGAGCTTCTATGTGGTAGCTAAGAAAGTTGCAAAGCTGGCCCACAGTAAGGCAAGTGCTCAGAGGCTGGCTATTCTGGAAGCAAGCTAGCTGCAGCAGCAAAAAAGTCTGCCAAATTCCTAATTGTTTGCTGAGAAACAGGGTAAATGAGCCTCAGGGAAGCTCTGCTCATGTGATTGGAGTTCTTCCTTGAGAATTTGTATTGCCCAGCATGGGGGGAAGGATTGGTTTGCAGGAAAAAACAGCAAGCCTTTTTGGAAAAGACGATATGGTCAGCTTCAATGCTAAATTTAAATTGTTTTAGTATGACAGCAGCCATGCTCTGAATAATGTAGTTATGCCCTTCTTACGGTTGCATTTTAGGAGAAATCATTCATGCTAGCTGCAAGGCAGCAAAGCAGCCTGTTGGTGAGCAGAGCAAGGAATTTTAATGCCCATGTGATACTAGAGATGCTTTGAAAGTTTCTACCCTTGAAGAGCAGAATCTGAGCCTTCCTTTTCTCTGCTGCTGTCAGTTTGTTGCCTCTGGGATTTATCCAGAGCTTGATACAGGTCCTCAAAACAACTGCTTTTGGGAACTAAAGGCGGCACCATCATACTTTACATAAAGCACCAGTAACTGAGTTAAGTATAGTTTTTCTCATCCTCCCTTCTGTACCGAGAAGTACACAAAGCTAACATTGCTGTGGGACTTCCAGTCTGAGTTTTCCACACAGAACGTGTAGCGCTTCCCCAACAAAACTGAAGCTTCAGGGTTCAGTGTATTTGCTGGTTAAGCTATCCAGCTTTTAAAAATGTATTTCCTGCTTTTAGTTCTGCACTGTTGCATTGTATCACTCCATAATTAACAAGTCCAACAGAGCAAGGTTAGTAATGGAAACTTCTCTGTAGCAACAACATAAAAGCAGCGTTGGATCAGGGCTCCGGATATATTAACATCCTTCAGTTGGGCTTTGTGGTTAGCTGCTATTATCCAGAGTGACATTAACGCATCATTAGAGCGTAACCAGGAACTAAAGTGCTATCCTACTCCCTAGAGAACACTAAAAGAGTAGGAACCCCTTTCTCCTCTGTTTTGATTGCCAAAACTGCCTGCTTATCTCAAATGTGGCTTTTTTTCCAGCTGTCCTCTACTGATGATTGGTTTTATATCTGTACAGCCTCTGGGTAGCGCTCCTGTAAGGTTTCCCTCATGCTAGGAGTTGAAGAAAACAGAGGATCTTCTGTGGAGCACTGGCAAATTTAAACAAACCAGACAAGAAGCAGTGTAAATCAGGTACAGTGCAGCGATTTTTATTCACATTAAACTTTTTACACTGAAAGTTACTGCAGTGTAACAGAGTGCCTGTGAAGAAGAGGTTAAGATTGCAGAGCAAGGGTAGGCCGCGTGTGGAAACTCCTTACCTCACCCCCAAAACTTTAGTTCAAGACAGTTTTTTTCCAATAGCAGTTGATTGCTGTAATCTTTCAGTCTTATCACAAAGGCTTTCAAGCCATGGAAGCTCCGATACAAGGAACAGTGACCAGAACAGCATGATTACAGACAGGTGAGCACCAGCATTGCCGATACAGGAAGGTTTCCCCTCCATCTGCTCATGACCCTTTGTTTTGATTTTACTAGCTGCTTTCCCCGCCTTCTGCTTGTTGTAAAAAAGAAAAGTGACCGTAGACTGTAGCATTATGAAACTCCTTTGCTATATTCAGTAGGTGGGAGCAGCCCTCGCCCCAGTGCTGTTCTCAACTTACAGCCCACCGGAGCCACAAGGAACAATCAACAATCTCTCTCCTCTCACCCAGTCCCACTGCTGTAACTTACGGCCTTCTTGGCTGTTAGGATGCTTTTATAGGATAAACGTTACACGTTAGTATATAGGGTATACTACATTTGGAGGTACTGTAAAGGTATTTAAAGTAAATATATATTTTGGTGAAAAGCTTATGCAGACAATTAACCAATTCTCCTATGAAAAGAAGCAGTAGCACCTTGTAACTTTATGGATTTGAACAGAGCAGAAGGGAGCTTTGTGTATGTGTAAGGAAGCATTTTTAAATATGTAATTACAGTTGGATAATAAATAGAACTGCAGTTCCTTGTCCTGTTCCCTCTCCTCCCCCTGGGTATTGTGATGATGATTTGCATACAGTAAATGATTTGCATACAGTAAAATTCATGGTATCTTTATGGAGAGCTTTTTTTAAGCTATCTAATGATGAGGATGAGGCCAGACTGTTCTTTCAACTGAAATGAAGCAAGTGATTTTCA